AAGGGAGAGGGGTGACGGCTGCCCGTTCGCTGGAGGCCGTGGGGGGGGTTGCTGTTAGAGGCGCCGCATGGTCTGTCAGGCAACGCCTCCCCTCCGAGCCACACTGCTTGGGAAGAGTGGGGGGGCAAGCGAGGGCATCTCGCGGGCTTGGCCCACCCACACGTGCCCACTAAGGTCAGAAGGCGCCCTTCTCGGAAGGTCTGGTGTCAAGCCGTCTGGTGTCAATCTCCAGTGACTCGAGTACTGGTCCACGTCACCCTCTTCTCCAGTTCTTAAGCTCCTCTCCTTTCGTGTAAGTGCTTAGCTACCGTAGTTTCAGGGGGCTGCTCGGAGCCAAAAAAAAACTTTCCTGCCTGTTGCAGCCATCCCGAATCGGGTCTTTTTCCTTTCGTTTTGTGAATCTGCACCTTGACTTGTCTGAAATCGGGTCCAGATTCTTCTGGCCAAGGAAGCTGGTTGGTTGTGGTGGCTTTTCTTTCATGCAGAATTACCCTGAGCCCTACTGCCCGAAGAAGGCGGCATAGAAAAGCCATAGAATAAATAAATAAACTGCCCTTGTGCGATGCGATTTTTCCTAAGGCTTGCCACTGTATGTGGCACAGTCCTGGATAGAAGTGGGTAGAGGAGTAGCTTTGATCTTGTGCTAGTCCTTTGATTTCTACTTGGACAAAGGTCTAATTCTAAGAATGTTTTTACTTGGAGATAAGTCCTGCCAAGGTCAGTGGATGTTAGTTTGATAATTAAAATCTCTGCCTTTACTTAAATATGTTACACCGAAGTGTAATAGGAGCATAGAAGTTGTCATGGAAGTATACAGGATGAATTTAAGGAAGCACAAGTGTAAGAAGCAATCTGAAATTAATCTAGGGTTGTTTTATGGTCATGTATAATGATTAAGATACTATGTCTCCAGACTTTTATCATGATGACCGTCTTTATTTTGTAGCCTCCCATTAAATTAAAATGATATTTAAATAAATTATATGAATCTTAGCCACTTTGCATATGTTTTTAGACAGTGCATGTATGAATTGTCATCATCGTCTTCTATATGAAAGAATGATAAATGTCTGTTAAGGCAGTGCTTGCCATCTGCATCTTTTATGAAGCTTTGTGTCGGAAGTAATTATTTTTATAAATCTTTCCATTAACATGGGTACATTTTAGTGAGCTTTTTAGTCTTTGGTCTAACTAATTGATTAAAACTTGCAGGGCTTTTTATTTTAAATCATTTATTATTGTTACCAGAATACAGATATTAGTGGATTGAAACTGGTGGTTTGGGTATGGATACCTACTGTATTTATTGTACTATTAGACTCTGCTCAGATGGATGCATTAATTCCTGATTTGCTGGGATTATCTGGGTGCTAAAATAGGAGTTTATATTATTTACTGGTCTTTGACAGTAATAAAGTATTCAGTTCAGAGTTTATATTATGTTTTGTGACATGCCAGACTTTGAAACTAATCATTTCCTTTATAATACAGTAATAGTTCCCTCTACAGAGCCAGTAGGCTGATAGTCACAATAAAGGATGTGTATGAGAGTGTTGCTTATCATCAGCAATGCCAAAAAGACCACCAAGTTCCAAAACAACATTACACAATAGTCTAAGTCACACAGATCCCCAAATTGAGGAAACTAACTTAATTTGCCTACCAAGGGTGTATTGTGATTTTCCTTGAAGGAAAATTTCTAAGTTTTTTGAAACGTAAGTACAGTAATGCATCTTCCCTTATCACTTTGTAAACTAAGGACCCAGAACCTGTGGCTTGTCAGAAGTTGTTTGACTGCAACTCCTATCATTCTTCACTGATGACTGGGATTGATAGGACTTGTAGTCCAGTAGTATTCCTCACCCTAGCTGTAACTTGTGGTTTGAAAACTAACAAAAGCAACCCTAGAAAAATATTTCCAAGAATTTCTAGCATTGCAGCAGAAAGGTAAAGAGAAAGGCGCTCCAGCAGTAACTTCAAAATTGGAAAATAGGGCTGATCAGGTCTGTTATTTCTGTTGTCCATAAGTTCTATTATCAGATACATACGGTATATCTGACAACACAAATGCATTTGTAGAACTGGAGATCTTTCCTGATACTACTACTAGACTGAGTGCTAGGGGTAAGAAAAAGATTAGCTTAAATAATCTATAATGAAACCTTTGGAATTCCATAGTGTTGAGACTCCAATCCAAGAACTGTTCCCATCTGTTTATAAAATTTAATATGTATATGAATACATTTCCTTGTAATAAAAAGAAAAATTTGTAATCTCTGTATGCATATTGATTCTATAATGAGAGCTTTAAGGTATAACACATTTTAAATTAAAATTATTTTCATGTAGGGTTTTTCTAAACAAAAAGCATTCTAATAATACAAATTATTAATTCAAATTATCTTTTAAGTATGTCATGTATGTGTGTTTGGTTTTTTGGGATTTAAAAAATTGCCCAGTAGCTTGTTCAATATTTACATGTATACAGAGCTCCAGCTGTGAAAGCTGCTGAGGCAATATAATAGGATGCTGGTCCTGTGCAACCAAACATGTGACCAGCACCTCCTCAAATAGGAGTGCAGTTTCTGCAGTAGGTGTTCCATGTACATAAATATTGAATAAGATACAAACAATTGATTTTAATTTGTTCTGATAAGCAAGTTGTCATTCAGTCCATGTTGAGGAGCTCAACACATAAGGGCATGGTGAAAAAGAATTTGTGTGTTTTCATTCGTGCTGATTTTAGTGACATTCCTGCTTGTGATTAGTGTGCTATCAAAATAAGTGGACTGAAAAATGGCTAGCCTTAGTTGGATTGTGTCCTCTACAGTACTTGTAATTCATTTGTTTTTTTTTATATGCTGCCTTTCTCCCAATAAGGGGTCTTAGGACAGCTCACAGTATTAAAAGGAGTAGAATTAAAAAAATAGCAAGTTAAAGGTTAAAAAACAACTCAACTATATGCTATTTAAAATATAATTGAATAATTTAATCAGGTAAACATTAAAAACTATCTGAAAATGCAGGAATGATATCTGAAATGATAACAGATATTCTATACTCTTCACTGCCCAGATGATTTTCTTTTTATAACTGGTTTGATACATCAGAATTTCATTTTAGATCAGCTTGTGAACATGTCACCTGCCCCACATAATTTATTATGCAGTCAAGCAAAGAAAATATGGGAAATTTGTGGTTAAATTTTTTAGGGAGTCTGCCTCATTTAAATCCTGTTGCTTAGAACAGTAAGTCACAGCTAGAGTAGGCTCATTGAATCAGTGGAGATTTGGTAAGTCAGCTCCTCCATAAGATCCATAGAGTCAGTGGACCTACTCTAGATGTGACTTCCTGCAATAAACAACAGTATTTCAGCCACCATTTTATAATGAAGTATTTGGATATTTATATTGTTACAGCAAAAATAGAGCTCTGGCTTGAGAGAGACATACATGGGAAATGATACAGATAGCTAGTGTCAAACTGGAAAAATTTTCAGTGTCTGGAACTGAAGAACATACCTTCCTTCCCCCTTCTTATCAGTCCTGTGCTAGATTGCCTGAGATTAAAGTTTAGAGTTGCACAAGTTTTCGCTGAACTGTCCAGAAGACTAGGTTGAGTTGGAGTGGTGAAAGGCAAAAAGACTGAAAAGAACAGTTGTGTGTAGCACTTAAGTTTCTAGGCTGGAAGCATTGCAAGTACTTCACACTCTGAATCATTTGGAAGCTTATTTGCTTTGCTCTTTATGGATCAAACTCCATAAAGAGAGTTGTATATTGTATATTTGAAGCAAATTCTGTTTTGTAAGCTCCTTTGCCTTAAATGGAGACATGGCTATACATTGTTTTTGAATAAATGAAATATGTGAATACTTCTGTTTTTGTGTCTTTATGATTTTATGAGTTGTTTTCTTGCAAATGCCATCTAATGCTTATATGCATATTTGTTGGTGATAACATGGCAACCCCTGCCCCCAAAATTCCTCAGTGCTTTAATTTTTTAAAGAGAAACAATATTTTATTTTAATAAGATGTTTCATAATATTGTTTTGTAACAGTGAATGGATGTCAGTACAGTATTAGGCAAGGTTGACAGTTCAGATTTGTCTTAATCAGCAAAGCCATTTCTATTCTTAAGAAAGGCTTACAATGGAATCCTGATCAAATGTACCCCAACTGTTGAATGTTTTTTGAGAGATTATTCCCTACAAAATGTGGGAGTATGTATACATCTTATTGTTTCATAAACAGGAGGCAGGGTAAAGTACAGAAGTACATAATAATACAACATCAAGTTGCAAATTGGCTTTTTAGCTATGCAGGTCAAAAGCAAAACCGAACATAAAACTATCCATAATGATTGTTTTGCTTTCAGCAAACATACAGAGCTGTATTTTATTTTATTTTTTTCTCAGGCATTGGAAGTTTTAATCTTTACAACAGCCCTGTGAGTCTAACCACTACATACCCAGGTTCTCCAGTTCAGTTTTTAAACTTACTCAGGCACTATACTCTTTCTATAAAGGAGTTAAAGTAAATATATGAGGGAAGGGAGAGGACTGACCCCACCCCCTCAGGTCGGATGTGTAAATACTGGATTTGACGAGGACAACTGTATTTCTACCCATGAACCCTATTTTGCACAATTTCAGATTTTGACAGAGATGCAACTATTCTGTGAGCAAATATGAAGAGATGTAGCCACTTGGTTGGAGTGCCTGTCTAGGGCTAATGTTTGTGTTTTCATACCTTAAAGTAGGAAATTCATGACAAGCTGAGGGAAAGATTTACACATTTTTGATTGGCATAATTACCAACTATTATTTGTAACTATCATTGACACTTCCCTTTTGTAGAGTTCTGTGGCAAATGCAGAGAGCTCAAAGAAAGGAATGGGTATTTTTGTTGCCTTCACACTGGACTTTTGTAAACGTGATGGTCCTAGTTTTATCTTAGGTAGAAACCAAAAGCTATCTGGGCAGCTGAGTGAGTTGAGTGTCTGGCGCAGAGTCAAATGTTGAGAGTTGAATCCTCACTGAGCTTTCTGGAATAAAAGCCAGCCTGAATAGCCTTGAGCAAGCTGCACACTTGCAGAACACCACCAGAAGGAATGGTAAACCACTTATGAGTACTCTGTACCTTGCTGTATACTCGAAAATCCTAGAAGGGATCACTGTAAGTCATAATCAGGTTAATTGTTAGTTATGCGTATTAAAAACCAGAAAAAAAGGGAGAGAAGACACTGTTCTGCCAGTTACTTTTTCTGAACTGTAGAAAACTCAGTCTTAAACAACATAGAAGACATCTAAAGTTTAGAATGTCTGAGTAAGGTTGAAAGGGGAGATTTGAATTTATTTCAGCCTGGATGCATGAGAATAGGTTAAAGGGGTCATTTCAGTGGTATTTGTACCTATTAATGCTACACAGGAGTATCACCAAATAGATTACTTATATGCCACCAAGTTGTTTCTCATTTATAACAGTTTTCAGAGATTTTCTGAGTATTTAGAAATAGTTTACCAGTCCCTCCTTCTGGGGGTTGCTCTGGATCTGTCGCCGTTGATTTCTTCTACTCCAGATTCTTTTATAGTACATTGGCTCATTTGTGGTGTTTCAAGCTTTACTTGTATTTTTATATGCATTTACATTTAATATTGACTATAAGTGTATTTGGACTGCCTTCCAGGTAACGAGGTGGAGAATTTCCAGAACATGTTTGGCAGGATAGTGTGTAGTATTATTTTAGTTTTGATATTGTTCCAAATGTGCAGGTCCAGAGATTTTGGATCTCTCCCCAGGTAAATTTTCTTGTTTGTGCCATGGTAAACTTTACAGATGGTTCAAGGCCCATCTCATTGTTAAACTGTGAGCTTTACCTGAAGACTGTCAGTGCCACTCTGGCTGCTGTGGCCACATAAGCAACTATTTGTGGCATTGCATACACACACAGCCAGTGTTCAGAATGTGTAACTGAATGTTTGTTGCTGATAAGCCCACTTATTCTTCTAGCTAACAATGAGATACTTGGTAGAGTCTTGAAGATTTTCACAGCTTTTAATTGGATGTTGGCAACCTTAAGCACTGGGTAACCAGAATAGACAGTTGTTCTGCTCCCTTTCAGTATAATTGACACAAGACTTGTGTATTTTTCACAACTCGGTAGAATTTAATTCTTACATTGAGTGTTCTGTTTTTTAGAAACTCTCATCCTTTCTCTTGGATAATATAATATCACCTTGTTTTGTTTGCTAGAAGAACAATAAAAATGAGGGTGAATTTTGTTGAAATTGATATTTCAGACTGTTGTGCAGATCTTTCCAGGTACTCCAACACAGGAAGATACAGCTGTAGAACAGGTATAGAACACAATCTTAAATATTAAAACTGCCAAGCTGTAAGGGACCCTATGGGTCATTAAGGCCAGCCTTCGTCAAGGAGGCACAGTGGGGAATCAAACTTCCAACCCCTAGCTCCACAGTCAGATACATAAACCACTGAGCTATATCCAGCACAGTACACTTACATCTGAAAACAAAGTAAGGAGATGTCTGATTGTAAATACTTACTGAATTACACGAACCTTTCAGTTGTGTCTCTTCCTAATATGCTAGCATTTCAATGAGAACAAATATTTTGGAGTAATTTTTCAATATCGTTATGAACTACACATGTATGTTTACTGGACAGATATTGTTCTATCCTCTGTGCTTAATTCCTGAACAAATTGCTTTTTAAGATTATATGTGGTTTTGTGCTTGTGTAGAAATTATTGGGGATTGCAAAAGATCAGTTAACTGTGCTGTTGCTCAAGAAAATCCATTGAAAAGGTTTATGATCTGTGTATGGACCCCTGAACACCTGGGTCTCTAAATTTTGTCTTTGTGCAAATTAATAATTTTATTTTGTCCTTTTGAATACTTGATAAAGTAAGCTTACTTTTATGCAGACATTCTGTGTTTTCTTAGAATCTGTTTAGCTTTTGAGGTTGCAGATATGCCACTTTAAATATATTAATACACCCCAAGACAAATCTTCATTCAATACTTTCTGTAAGAGCCAATTATACTATTTGTGCATTTTTCAATTCCACATTTAACATATATTTGTCGTATGCTGATTAGTCCATTAAAGTGATACCTAGAATACCAATCAACATTTTTCTATGATGATCTTAATATGCTGTAACTTCAGCATAAGAACATAATTCTGAATTTCTGTATATTGCATTTTAGTAGCCAAATAGTGATTGCCAGCCTGTTATGTAATGTGAAGATTCCACTTAAGCTGTATCCAAAGATTCTGTTGACAAATGTTTGTGTTGCCATATTTTTGATACAGTGGTTTGTAAAAACTTCCTTTATATATATGTGTGTCCAGTTTCTTTAACTCAATTTATTTTTTATCATTAAATTTTTTTTATATATATATCACAAGTCTACTTGGCATATGAGTTAGTGACTTGCTTTGCTAATTTGGATTTTGAACAGTGATTTGTACATGAAAGTTCATATTCATATTGCTTTAGTCAAATTCTAGGTTAGCTAATACTTTGTGCAGGAAGAAGCATACAGTTTTATACTTAATCCTGAGTAGAGATGTTGTATCTGACACAATCCCATACTTTAAAGATAATTGCAGGAAGCCATTGTTGATCGGTGGTTAGCATTTCTCATATATTGATGAGAAATATTAAGTTTTTCTGGGATAAAAGCAAAAATAGTAACTTTACTTCCAAATATTGATTGAACATTATTGATTTGAATGTGAGTAGATTAGATGTTTATCAGCAACTAATACCTGTAGGTATATAGTTGGCTGGATAACTCAGTAGTTTAGGCATCTGGCTGCAGAGCCAGAGTTTGGGAGTTTGATTCCCCACTGTGTTTCCAGCCTTGGGAAAGCTGCATAGTCCCAGGGCATCCCTAGAAGAAGGGAATGGTAAACCTCTGACTATTTTCTAGCTGGAAAATCCTGAAAAGGATCACCACAATTCAGAATTGACTTGATGGCACATGATTATTATTACTAGAGGTAGGCAAGAGATAGGGGATGTTGTTGCTTTTAGAGTAGGAGTGTGTGATTTGTGGCCCATCATATGTTATTGACTGCATCTCATACCATTAATCATTATTAGCTGGGACCAATTAGAATTGTACTTCTGCCAATATCTAGAGGATCACAGGTTGCCCACCCATTGTTTAGAAAGACGATTGATATGTTCTGAAAGGCTGAGAATAATTAAAAGACTATGTAATTAAAAGACTAAAAGTATTCTCTTTTTCCTATTTCCAGAGGGTCCTTATGGAATATTTGCTGGAAGAGATGCCTCAAGGGGACTAGCAACTTTCTGTCTAGATAAAGATGCACTCAGAGATGAATATGATGACCTATCAGACTTAAATGCTGTACAAATGGAAAGTGTTAGAGAATGGGAGATGCAATTTAAAGGTAATATTCTACTTTAAAAGTCCCTTTGTATCAAAAGGAAAAAAGTCAAACATGGCTGGGTTGCTTTTAAGGATGTTTCTAAAGCATCCAGAACTTTGTTACATTGCTAGTGACTTTCAGTTTCAAATTGTCATTATGATTGTGTATACAGAGGTACCTCACTAGACAACGACCCCGCTGTATGACGAATCAGCAGGACGGTGACTTTCTGCAATCGTTATAGCGATTTGCAAAACAGTCATTCCTATGGGGGAATTTCGCTGGACGTCGATTAGGTCTGTGCTTCGCAAACCGTTTATTTGCAAGACGACAATCTTTACAGCTGATCGCCAGGTTCCTAAAATGGCTGCCCTGTGTTTTCCGGACCCATGCTTCGCAGGGCAGCCATTTTAACAGCTAATCAGTGCTTGGAAAATGGCTTCCCCTGTGGGCGATCTTCGCTGGACGATGAGGTAGTTTCCCTATTGGAACACATTAAATGGGTTTCAATGCATTCCAATGGGGAATTGTTTTTTGCATAACGATGATTTCGCTTAATAGCGATTTTCCCAGAATGGATTATCATCATGCGGGGCACCACTGTATATAATAATTAAACATTCTTAAATATGAGATGTTTCTGTGTATGGTGAGGAACACATTTAGTGCAAGGATTTCCATAGAGTAACTGATTAAATAAATAAATAGTTAAATAAATAGTTAATAAATGTTAAAGTTTTATGTGTACTTTTTGCTTTCCTGGCTTAAATGAAAATTTGATTTTCTCCAAATGGAGCCAGTTATTATCAGTGTACATCACTTCTGCTTTAATGCATCATGTTGAAAAATGGCACAGAATATTTTTCAAACATGTGACATTACTTGGCTTTCCAGTTGCAATAATCATGGCCAGAATTGGGACTACTGCTGGTGGTTTTCTGGCAGTAAAGGCCCTTGTCATGCTCTCAAAGGTTCCAAAAGCTTCCCCAGGTCAGAAGGGATCCCAAGAACCTGCGTGTAAAATAGGAAACCTAATGAGTGACAGAAGCCCATGGCTGATGACATATTCAGCTTGTGTGGGCATAACTTTACCCAAGAGGATTTTGGGCACTGTGTAGTTCTATGTGGAATCTGCAGTAATGTGATGGAAAGATTAAAACATCCTGTCCTGGTGATTACAGATTAATTGGGATGGGCACATATTGTTTCTGCCTGTAGTGACAGCAGTCAACATATCACAGGACCAGTAGTCTTTCCATTGCAAAAACATTCTCTCCAGTATAGGAAAATTCATAAATTCATTGTATTAAAAAAAAAAAACAGCCAGGTATCTCTGATATCATTTTATGATGGATATTAAGTTAAACTTTATTCTGTGCACAGACAGTCATGTACAGAACAGCATTTATTGCTACGTGCAATACAGCAGTCTAATTTCTAATATTTACATGTCTTTTCCAGAAAAGTACGACTACGTAGGTAGACTTCTGAAGCCAGGAGAGGAACCGTCAGAATATACAGATGAGGAAGATACCAAGGATCACACAAAGCAGGATTGAACTTTGTAAATCACCAAAGTCAGGGGCCTTTGGGACTGCAATTTCTTATTCCCCATCACAGAATGCCCTGTATCCTTGGGTGCAATTAATCTGCTGCAGAAAACAACATGATGGGTTTTGTACAACAGCAGCCTCCTTAATGAAGATTTTTGTGCTGCCAAACATTTTTGTTGTTGCAGTTAAACTGTAATGTCTGGAAAGGCTTCATTAACGAAGTGGGGCCAGAGATCTAAAATGAAAAGAAAGCTATTCCTTTTTAGCATGTTGAAGCCTTTGAAGAGTTCGTTATTTACAAGCTTAAGTGTTTCATATGTAATTTTTACTCCTTTGGCACTAAATGCAAAACCTAGTTATTTTAAGGAATCCCAAGTAAATTTGGCTGCTGAAACATGTGAGAATACTGAAAACTAGTTTCTTGGCCATTGGTTTCCGTGACAAAAACTTGTCCAGTTCTCTGCAGATTACACAGTATAATATAGATTCTTCTGAAGAATAAAGGAATTCTTTCTGCAGAAACTATTATCTGAAACTGCCTTCTATGCTTTTCTTTCCCCTCAATCAAATCAGAATAATTGTGCCTTATTTCACTTAGAGACTTGAATTGTTTTAAGGGAAAGCCCCAAATGTGACATGGGTCACTAAACTGGTTAGAACATTCAGTTGACTGGAAAACATTGATGTCATTCTGTATATAGAATGTAAAGGAATACTCAGTGTTACTGCCATATATATATATATATGTTAATATACATGAACTTAATTAGCAGTGTAATGGCCAAATGCATTCCCTATTGCTTTTTAAATAAGTCCGACTCTTCCCTTTTCCATCCCCATGGAGCTTCTTAAAATTGAGGAGTATCACATATCTTTGTAAAGAGAGGGGTGTGCATGGGTGCTTGAATACAAGGAATGGAAGGATGGTTCCTGCAGATACTGTAAATATGATTACCATTTTAATAAAGCATGTAAAGTACCAAATGTGCTGTCAGACTTTATATAGATGCTGTTAAGCTAGTATTGGTGGCCAGGACACTGTATGAAAGAAATGAAATCTTTGAGATATTAAATATTTTTGCACTGCTATTAAATAAAGCTTTACCCAGTTTTCCCCCCATTTAGTCATCATATGTAATCCACAACAAAATGTGACTTTGGGTACAGTTTGAACACGTAATGAGAGACAGCAAGTGACATATAACAGTGGTGCATATCTATGGGTGGAAATGCTTTGGTTATCAATTTTTGCTGAAGCTTGCCATGCCTGCTCACCACCTTAACTGCACAGCTTTGGTCATTGCTAATATAGTAAGTAAACCCAAAAACAAACTTTCTTGAAATTATCTGCTATAAACTAGCCAGTAAACACAACGCTATGCCATATATGTCCATCATTAACAAGGACAATGATGCAACAAGACAGCAGTGTGTCCAGCATAAAGAAATTCAGCTAATTGTGATCTTCATTATGATGTCTGTAACAAATAGCATATTCTTGTCCAAAATGACCAAACAATTCTGGCCCATGCTCAGGTTGGCTTGTGAGTAGATTATTCATTTGTTGTCTACCAAGAGTTTTCTATACCTGCTATGTCCTTTTATGTGAACATACTGTTATCCTTAGTAATTTAAAAATCTCTAGGCCTCCATTGTTGAGCCACAGTTGCAATTCCTCCACTCAAATTTTATTCAATGACTGAAATTATGCAGTATGTTTTGAGAAGTGAACAACTTGTGTTCCTAATTTTTTTAAATAAAGTGTTCTGTAGATACATGAGTAGTGTGCTGTATTTCTCATTTTAACTTTTCAAGTAAGCTGTGTTGGAAGAAAACTTCAGTTTCCTGATCAGTTTTTTTTAAAGGCCTTTAAGGAGCACCTCCTCTGATGGTAACAAAACGGTTGTGCTGAGGGAAGAACAGAATTGGGAAATCTTTATCCCTGGCCTTAATGTTATCGTTCTGCTATGAAATTTCTGCTGCTGTTTCCTATTGCTGTTTTCATTAAAAACTTAACTTTTGGTGCTGTGGTACAAAGTCACAGAAGTAACTACAAGATTTTTTAAAAAGATCATCTGTACAAAATCTTTTTGCCTATATTCTTTTGGCACCTTTAGTAAACAGTAGAATGAATGGCACCATTGTCTTCCATAGACTAGCTGGCCCATTCTAAAGGATGGATAATCTTTACTTATAAGTAAGGTATTGCGTATGAAGCAGTGGCTTGAAGATAAAAGATGGGTTCTTAGAATATGTATTTATATAGTATGTTGGTCCTCCAACCCACCCAGAGCTGCAGATCCTTGTACTGCATGGAATATTCATCCTTTGTGTGGGCTGCTGGAGGTAGTCTGTAGGCTGAAAGGTTTATATGTATAACCTGCAAACTGCATGTGACCCTAGCCAGTTTGTTAAAAGTTATGCATACTTAGTGTGTTCTTAAGAACAGTCAAGTTGATGTAAGGAGATAGTAAAATCTCAGGGATTGATTTGGACTTTTTAAAATAGAGAGAAAAATGGCACACCTATTTCATTTGCAATAAGCAAGAAAAAGAGAGGTTACTTACCTGTAACCATGGTTCTTCAAGTGGTCATTCTGTGAATTCACACAAAAGGGTTAGGTCAGCGCCAGCGTGGGTCCCTCCGGAATGTTCTCGAGCTCTGTAGGAAAAGAAATATACTTTAATACTGCCTATACTGCACATGCTCCGCCCGCCCAAGTTCCATTTATCCACCACAGAAATAGTAAGCATGAGCTATACATATATACAGTGACGGAAGTGGGGAGGTCAGGCAGGATTGTGTGAATTCACAGAATGACCACTTGAAGAACCATGGTTACAGGTAAGTAACCTCTCTTTCTTCATCATGGTCTTCTGTGAATGCACACAAAAGGACTAGCAAGCTAACTCACCGGAAGGAGGGCCGTCACTGAAGGGCGGACGCCAGCACAGCTCTTCCGAATTTTGTCTCTCAGCCCTCAGGTCTAATTTGTAGTGGGTGATAAAGGTAGATGCTTGAGACCAAGTGGCAGTCCTGCAGATGTCAGGCAGATTGATGCCACGTAGGAGGGCTGTAGAAGAGGCAACTGCTCTGGTGGAATGAGCACGTAGCCCCTCGGGCGGCGACTTCTGTTGGAGTTCATAGGCCAAGGATATTGCAGAGACAAGCCATCTCGAGAGTGATGAGGGTGACGCAGGGAGACCCTCCTTTTGTCCAAAATAACACAGAGTTTGGGAGATGACCTAAATTCTTTAGTCCTCAAAACATAAAAAGCGAGTGCTCTTCTGACATCCAAGGTGTGGAGCATGCGCTCCATGTCATTGGTAGGCTGAGAAAACAATGTAGGCAGTATAAGAGGTTGATTCAAGTGAAAGTCTGAGGCCACTTTAGGAAGAAATGAGATATCAGTGTGTAACACCGCTTTGTCCTGAAAAAACTGAGGAAGGGCTGATCAGCTCGAAGAGCGGCCAACTCACTGGCCCTGCGGGCTAAAGTTATAGCGACCAAAAACAAAACCTTGATTGACAGTAACTTAAGATCGCACGTTGCCATTGGTTCAAAGGGTGGACGCATCAGGGAGTGCAGCACCAGATGAAGTGACCATTGCACTGGCCGTCTAACGGGGTCATAAATGTACAAGTCCTTTGAGGAAGGCTTTAACGGTAGGGTGAGAGAACAATCAAGAAGCAGGAGATCCTTGAGGTTGGAAGGAAACAATAGCTGCAATATAAACCTTCAAAGTCGAAACTGACAAGTTAAAATCAAACAGGTAACGCAGAAACTGTAACAAGGTAGAAAGGGTAAGTGGATGTGAGGCAAGACCTTTAGATTCGGTAAACTTGAGAAAACCTCCATTTATAACCATACAACTGAGAAGTTGACTCCCTTCTAGACTTATCTAAAACTTCCTCAATCTCGGGGATATCCTCCACGCAGTGAGGTGTATCGTCCTGAGGTCCGGGTGAAACACCTTGCCGGTGTCCTGAGTGAGCTGAGTGGGAAAGGTGGAAATGTCACCAAGTCGACCGCCATTGATGCCAAGGTCGGAACCCACGACTGACGAGGCCAGAACGGTGCCACTAGAATTGCCTCTGCAGATTCCTGTCGAAGTTTGACCAGCGTCCTCTGCACCAGGGGAAACGGTGGGAACAGGTGGAGAAGACCCATAGTCCATGGTATCATGAAGGCGTCTCCCATGGAACCGTGTCCCCGACCTGCCCTGGAGGTGTAAAGTGGGCATTTCCTGTTGGTCTGAGTGGCAAAAATGTCCATGAGAGGAGTGCCCCAACGACGGCACAAATCGTCGAACACCTTGGCATTCAGCTCCCACTCATGCATCTGATTCATGCGACGACAATTCGTCGGCTAGCACATTGTCCTCTGTCGACACATGAACTGCCACCGGAAAAATGTGATGACGGTAACACCACTCCCATAGCGTCACTGTTAGAAACAGGAGTGAGTGAGAGTGTGTGCCCCCTTGCTTGTTTATATGGTCGTGGTATTGTCCGTGACTATTTGTACCCCACAACCATGTACTAGGGGGAAAAAAGCTTTGAGCGCTTTGAAGACAGCCAGAATCTCCAAGTGGTTGATGTGGAGAATTTGCTCTTGTGTTGACCACCGGGCATGTATGCGATGTTGGCCGCAATGCGCCCCCCAACCTGTGGGACTTGGTGGGTCCGTGGTGACTTGGACAGTCAAGCGAAGAGGGCGAAACGGACGTCCTATTTGGAGGTGCAGAACAAAACTCCACCATTGTAGCTGCTGTGCCAACTCTGGTGTGACCCGAAGACGCCTCTCCTGATTATGCCGAAGAGGGTCGAAGAGGGAAAGGAGCCACACCTGCAGAGACCTGCGTTTGAATCGAGCATGAGCCAAGCCTGGAGTTGTCAACGCCATAAAACCGAGGAGATGCTGAGCATGGCGCGTGGACACTGTAGCTCCCGCCCTGAACTTCCTTACAGCTTTCAGAATTTTTTGAATCCGCTCTTGTGGAAGGAAGATGCGGCCTCTGACAGCATCTATTGTGGCCCCAATGTAATCTACAACTCTTGAGGGGGTCGAATGGGATTTTTTGTAATTTATTTTGAGACCTAGATTCTGAAGGACATGTAGGATAAACGTTGTGTCTTTCAGGGGTCTGCGCCTGGATCGAGAGACCACCAACCAGTCATCGATGTAAGGAAAAACATGGACACCATTTAACCTCAGGTAAGCAGCAACAGATGCCATGCACTTGGTAAACGTCCGGGGGGCCATCGCAAGACCGAATGGAAGCTCCAGGTACTGATAAATGACATCCTGAAAGATAAACCTGAGGAGTTTGCAATGTGAGGGATGGATCGTTGTATGAAAATATGCGTCCAGGTCTATAACCACGAACCAATCTTTTCTTCTTAACAGGTGGATTATAGACTCCAGCATCACCATTCGGAACTGGCGTGGTCGAAGATAAGTATTTAGGATCCTTAGGTCCATGATGGGTCTTCTTCCTCCGTCTTTTTTGGGAACGGCGAAGTACCTTGAGTAGAAACCATTCAAAATGTTTCTTTTTGGCACTCTGGATAGCTTATTTTTTCAACAGTGAGTTAACCTCCTCCTCTAGGGCAGGGTCGAATGAAGTGTGTTCTACCTGACCTAGAGGAGGATATTCTATAAATTCTAGCCGGTAGCCGGAGTGGATGATGTCTAGAACCCACGAGTCTCTTGTGATGGTAGACCAATTTTGAATGAATGGTTGTAGTCTTGTGATGGGAGTGAGGAGTGGCAGAATTGCTGTTGAGTCAAAGATATTTGTGTTTCTTGGCAGGAGGCTTGTATGACTGACGTCGCTGGGAAGTCTGAGCACGGTAAGTAGAGTTTGAGGAAGTACCCTGCGAAGATCTAGCTTGAGATGGACCCTTGAATTGCCTGTATTGCTGGGAAGGTTGATTATATTGGCCAGAGGGCTTCTTCCATTGATACCTATTGAACCTGGGCTGAGGCTGAATGTAATAAGATTTAGCCATCTTCTTGGCCTTGTGCAGCTCTTCAAGATGACCATCGGTCTTTTCATTGAAAAAACCCCGAAGCATCAAAGGGTAAGTCCTCTACCTTGGTCTTCACATCATCCAA